TGACCAATGCCCTCGTTTGTCAGTCATGTCACTGTTGCACCAGACAGTGTTTTAAAGAGGGAAAAACATCTCAATTATAATGAACTGCACAGGCGCGGGGTAAAACCATAGGAGTCAATATGCATTATGCTGCATTCACATCAAAAAGAAGGACCAGAAACACTGTGTATTCTGTGTTTAGCACTCATGCTAGCCTTTGTCACACCAGATAAATAAACCTCTTTGTGTTTGTGGACATTTCTATGCATGCATCATAAAAGATGAGCTGAATGCATTGTCTTAGTGTCACAGCTGGGTTTTATTTTCATGTACATGTAACCACCCGTGTTTTCTCAAAACATCTTTTCACTGAGCAACAGATATTGAGGGAGGAAATTCTTGATATGGGAGCTTAGTATCCTACCTACAAACAAACTGTGCTGAACAACAACTGAAAAACGTTGTAACGATGTTAACAGCTGCAGAGTAATAAAATATATAACAAATATTTTTAAATAGCCTTTCTGATCCCTGAACCTTTACATGCAAAGATATATCTTTGGCTTTCACAATCACTAAACCTTCACTTCCATACTTGATGACAGTGTGCGTGTGGGACTGTGACCTAATCTCAGTGTTTTGGAGCTGAGTAAACAGAAGAGGATTTGGTGTTTTTCTACGGAAAGTCACTGAGCACAGGATTTCTTCCACGACAAATTAGGACAGTCGGAGGAGGATTACTGCTAACGTCATACAAACCTTACAACAAATCCTTACAAAAAGGTTTATGCCAATACGCAAAAATCTAAATGTGGAAGGTTTGGTCAACTGTGTGATTCAAGCTGCTTTCTGACTCTCAAGGTTTGAAGTCACTGGAGAAAGTAATAAGAAAGAGTTATTTATAATAGACGAAAACATCATCCTCCAAGTGCTCAGCTGGCTAATATCTGAAACGTCCGGAAACAAAGTCAAGCAAAGTTCACGTGATGAAAATATCTTGACATCACAAAGCACCAAAAATAGAACACTTCACACTGCAAAGGAAACTCACTTTCTGTTACACAAGCCAGCACAGCAGGAATCAAAAATAGACGACAGGATGTTGTTCATGTACCACCCTGCTACTGAGAACTTTTTTTCCACCTTCCACTAGACAGGAGGGGAGAAGAGGAGCTTATAAACCGGGATGGAAATGCACAATAACCACTCATCCTCGGTGCTTTATATGTAGGAATGGTCCTGGAAAAACTCCACAGCTACGCAGGAAAAGGTCTTAAGGGTCTGCGAGGACATTCGTCCGGCTGCGACAGGCAGGGTTGCGTGGGCGGAGAGAGCGGTGAGGAGGCAGGCAGGCCGGGACCACTGGAAGAGGAAAGTCATCACCAGTGCCTCTGCTTCAGCCCTGTTGCCTAGCGAGCAAAAATATTTACTCTTTACCCAAAACTGCACAGGATCTTTTTTTTTTCTGCACATTCTGGAGAAGTGAAAACAATGGGACTTATCAATCTAAATTAATTGCAGAGGCTCCTTCCCGCCAAGGTCTTAGAGAAAACTTGCTCGACTGGAATGTTGATCTTGTGATAGGCGGGAGTAGTGTAACCACGTAACCATGGCGATGACAGAAAGAGAGAAAAACCCCAGACTGGATCTGGATCTGATTGGGCCAGACAGGTTGAATTACACAGGCGGCTCCTTCAGTCAAGACGTGCCTGTGTGACAGACTCTGAACATGTGTCGAATCACAGCCCCACACGACAAACCAAACACGGCTTGTATTTTCCTGACATGGCAACTGTATATCGGTTGTCATGGTGAGTCGCACGACAACATCTGGGTAGCCACGGGGTATTTTGTTTGCACTCCAGCCCACTTTGCTGCAGCCTGTATGGCACAGGCAAGGTCTGGTGTCGATTCCCCGGGCAGAGCCACCGTCTGCAGGCCCCAGTTCATGCCCACAGATGATGGTTCCAGCTGGAGGGGATTACCAATGACATGTGCCAGCCTGGAGCAACAGTGAGGCCGCTGTGAGAGGGTGTATGAAGGAAGGGAAGAGCCACACCTAGAAATGTGACAGAGACACTCTGGCTGAGAGCAGACGTAAGGAAACAGCTGGAATGGAGTGGACAGACATGGAAATACAGAGGGATAGTGTGGGAGGGGGAGAGGGCTATGGTCCCTCTGTGTGTGTGTGTGTGTGGGACTGCAGGGTGTTCCAGGTCATTTTATTGAAAGTGAATGAGAAAGTACTGCAGCTTCCTCCGACAGAGCAAGCTACAAACCTTTCAGACCCAGACCTTTGAGACGTGAGCAGAAGATTTTCATGTGGTCTGATCACTGTGGCCAGTGTTACAGACATTACAATAACTACAGTATGTCTGTCACACATTTCTAATAGGTCCACTCACTACATCGTCCACTACGAAATGAATTTGCTTCTTAGTGAATTTGTTTTGCAGCGCTGTCTGAATGTTGAGTGACATTTTTTTAAACACTCTTTACTGGAATCATTGTTTCCCACAATGCATCCTGAAAAGTAGTGCACAACCGATGGTCACTAGTCGAGCAATATAAACCATCATGCATTGTGCTCGAGGCGGAGAAGCGAGAGGAGAGATAGAACAGTAAATCTTCTTCCTTCTTGGTGATTCTACTCCTTCTTATTCTGATCAAAAAAACAAAGCATTGGGTATCTTTTGTAGATGAGCTCAGTATATAGTCCTGTACATAGAGGTCATTATGTTGTGAAGTAGGAGTTAGTGAATGAGTGGATTTCAGAAACAGCCTAAAATCAACAATGCTACTGGTGTGTCTCTCAAAACCTCCCCTGATGTAGCACAAAGACCCTGAACCCAATGAACCCTAGTAAAGACACACAACTTTACAAAGGAGTCACAAGCATGTACTTATAGTACTTGTAGTTTTTAACTAAATTTACTCAGGAGTAAAGCAGAACAGTGGATGTGGCTCAGTTTAAGTGCTTTTCATAATGTTTGGATAACAGTGGCGCTCAATAGCTGAGCTGCATCAGTTTCTGGTTTCGCAGACAAGATTTTAGACGATTTAGTCGACTTCCTTAAATATCTAAACTCTTGTGACTGAAGCCTGCTGGGGTCAAACTGTCTGTGCTATTTGTGGTTGTGGGAATAACACTAACCATTTGTTACAACATTAAAGAAACTGCCCTTTGAGCAGATACCACAATCATTGTGGTGTTTGGCTAGAAAGATCCAATTATTGTTGGTTTTTACTCTTTCATGTTGAAGATAAGGAAAAACTACACTCATTCTTAAAGTTAAATCATCAGTTCCCATGTGTATACTACTTCTAGCCAAAAATGTCTCGGGAACACTCATTGTGTTATTGTTTCTTTAGAGTTCTCATCGTCACTGGCACAGTCTGGTGCGATGGCGGCTGGTGTGGCTGTAATTCAACCATGAAAACACTTTGTTATTTGTCTTTGTCAGTAAAATAAAACATGATGAATTTCATTTGGATTTCACAATTTGTTTCTAAATAGCTGCTTGAGGTGTGGTCGCTTCCCCCGGTGGTGGATATGGGTATGACTTTGAGCAGAATTATGTGTCCAGCACCTGCTTTTACCACCAGTAACCACAGGGGTCACCACATCAACCAGGAATGAAATCATGATAAGTTAAATTGATCAGAAGAAAGATTGAACTAGTGTGACAGAATGAGCCAATACTGAAAAATAAATTCCGTCCCTCTAATGACTTGGAAAATTCTGGCTCACCTGCGCATATGCTAGAGACGAGTCCCACTTCAAGACCAAGAAATGGTTCAAAAAATAGAGCTATAGAATACAGCAGGCCCAGTCTCCACCTTAATCTCCCCCTTGGTGTAATATCAGCTGAGAGGAGGAGACAAAGGCTGTGTCTCCCCCAGCTGGGCATCACACCCCTGACTGCAGCCCTGAGCCGCAACAATGAAAACTAGACGGAAGGTGTTTTGGACTCACACACAGAAAATGAGAGGGAGTGGGTGAGGTTTCTCTGCAGTTGTAACACACACCAACACCCAACTGGCTGACTGTGTAGCTCTGCGGGCTGTGTCACCACCGACGGCCATGCAGCATCGGTTCCACCTCCATCCTGGATGCTGTGAAGGGAGTCTGATTCTTTCTCCTGCAGGAGCGGCCTCATTACAAGGCCGGCTCCTCACAGCTCATGACAAATGGGCGTGTACCCCCACTACCCACCACCACCTCCTCCTCTCTTCTCCTCCTCACTCTCCTCTGCACCAGCCTGCAACATGAACAGAGGCCAGTGTCTGAGGTCTGCAGGGGGACAGATTTATTCTTAACCTTAAAAGAAATAAGATGCTATGTGGAACGAATGAGCCGATGCACAAGAATTACAAATTGTTTTACTTTTGCTCAATTATTTTCCAGCTAATTGGGGCAACAGGACAATGCAACCAGGTTATGATATATTTAGGATAAGGCATGTTCTGAAAAAAGGATTGTGAATCAGGGAAAGATCAGTGAAAATGAGACACACTTCAATTAGGCCCAGATTCGTCTCCACAGAGAAAAAGGCCTGGGCACATTCTTGTCAAAATGGCTAAAACGTGAAAACAAGTGTAATTAATCTTCTATGAATCCCATCCATTACATGTAATAAGCACATGTTATCAAAGCACATGTAAAAACTGATCAGTGAGCAGCATTATGTCTCTGCAGGGACGTTTCAATTATGGTTTTTAGGGCGAGCCGGCTCCTCTGCGCGCATGGATCCGCTCAACAAAGAAGATGCAGGACACCTTTAAGAAAACGCCTCGTCTCCCTGACTGGCTGTCTCTATGGCAGCCGCTCGTGCCATTTCATTGTGCAGCATTTTTCCATCGACTTCCTGCGGCCAAGTCTGACAATGGAGAGGAAAACGCACACGTCTGGCGCAGCGCGTGTTCCTGATCCATGGCGCAGAGAAGCGCAGTGATTTATTTTATTTTATTTGCAACAGCATCAAAGTTCCCACCGCAGATAAATAACTCTTTATACTCACTGTGATCTTCGGGATGTTCTTTTTTCCTTGATAAGACATTTTTCTTGATTCGGTTCCACCTTCACAGATCAAGCGCTTAGAAAACGGATATTCCCTCTGTGTGGATGCTGCAGCGGCCCTCGCCTGGATGGGAGCTTCAGGGAATGGTGGCCCCTCCGTCAGTGCGATGTAAAGTGTCTCAGAGGTTCAGGAGCGTCTCTGCTTCGCTCAGCCGGCCCCTCCCTCAATACGCTCCACTGCAAGAGAAGCAGTGTGCCGAGATCTCCGCTGGAGGGCGCAGTGGTGCAGCCTGCAGCATTTTATTCTTTATCACTCACATTAGTAATTACTGAGTCGGACCAATCACAGGTCGCTCCTCCCTCATTAACTAATTAATCCAACTAACCTGAACTAGCTGGTTTAAACATCCAACCACATGGTGTCTGTGCTCTGTCACTAAAGAGATCACAGAAGACCAGATGTAAAATGTGTGTGTGTGTGTGTGTGTGTGTGTGTGTGTGAGTGTGTGTGTGTGTGTTATATTTGTTCCTGCTTGTATTTACATTTGAACATTTTTTAACATAACTGCTCGACAAGGACTCTCAGGTAAAAATAGATGTTGTATCTCAAACGTTACTTTAAGTTAAATAAAAAATACGCTGCTTCAAATGCGACTGTTCATTGTGTTGGTTTATAATAATAAGAGAATAAACAGTTATATTCAAGAAAGTAAAGTGTCGAACTTCACCTGTCAAACTAAAGTTTGACAAAATATATTATTATTATAATTATTATCTTTATTATTATCATTATAGGCTATAATCGTCGTAGAGATTTACAACTGCTTTTTGTTTTTCTACAGAGGGGGGGCGGCAAAATGGAGGAGCAGCTGTCACAGAGGCTGTCCACCACATTACACACCCCACATGTCTACCCCCCAACATACACACACACACACACACACACACACACACACACACACACACACACACACACACACCCTCTCTGTGCATGTCCCCACCCAGCCATGTGTCTCTATTGTTTGAACCTAAAGTGGACGACCCCCCTCCCCCCACCGGCCATTTCCTCCAACACTCCCCCCCTCAGCACTAATGCACTCCCAATGATGTGCATGTGAGAGCAGGCACGTGACTGAGGGTGTGCCCGTGCATGTACCATTTGTATATATTGGGAGGAGATAAAGTGCATAAACAGATAAACAGAGAGCCACTGGTTGTTTTCCTCCTGCTGACATGTCCTTTCATGGCCGTGAGGCAGCAAGGCATTACCTCAGCATTCCCAGGCCATGGAGAAATTGTCAACAAGAAGTTTGCATGCTTCCTCTGCAGATCACATTAACCAGCTGACACTGACCGACAGACAAGGGGCAGACAGATCAAGGATGCAGAAAAGGACTCTGTCAGATCATCAGACCTGTACCAGCAGACTTTGAACCTCAGTGGCCCCGAATGATCACGTTTAATTCTCCTGCTAATGTGTGATCACTTCTTACTGAAAGGATGACACAGAGTTTAGGAAGGCATCGGTGAGTGCAGCCTCACTGTCACTGTTTTTGAATTCCTCTGGGTGAAAACTAAACAAGAATTAGATTTGGCTCTTGGGACAAATGTGTGTTGAATTAAACGGGTACATCAGCAGCTGAGGACTTTATTTCTAATACAAAAGAAGATAGTCAGAGATGAGCTCTGGTATGAGGAGGTGTTACAGAACACTGGATCCTACATTTCCCATAATGCAACTCAACAACTCTCTTTGTTGTTCTGTGGTAAACAATTTTTTTTGACACCCCTCTATGCAACAGTCTATCTGATTATAGTGCTACCACCACCACCACCACTACTACTAATACTTCTACTAATAATATTAACAATTATATTATTATTATTAAATAACACACTGTCCATATGAAATACTACAAACAGGCAGTTTTTTGTCATTACTTTGTATGTGAAGTTTGACTTATGTGAATGTACTTAAGTCAGAGGAGAATGCGAGTTCTGTCTTTGTTGTCAGTCCAGTGTCCTCACACACTTTCTACACAAAGCAACACACACACACACACACACACACACACACACACACACA